GTAATTATATTACAAATATATAATATACATCAAATTAAAAGTGATTTAACAGAATAATAAAAATATTTTTAAAATATGATGATAATATTTTTACCATATATTTATCATATAATAACTCTCGTAATATTGGAATTATATTGTAGAAATATTATAGCAATATTGTAAACATATTTAGCAGAAATCGAGGTTTCTGCAAAGTAATCTTGAATCTTCCAATTACTGATATAACTATCTTTTTTAGATTCTCTTTAAGAAAATTATATTGTCCATTCTGATTTATATAGGATACAATCATATTAGACTCAATATTCTTTTTATCTGTTACCCCATTATATAATCACCTTGATAGCATGAAGCTTTGTCTCCCAACCTCATCATTAGTTTGGTAAGAATTAATCATGGCAGGAGCAGAATAAATTAACAGTGAATAAGAATAAGGAAGATCCTCAATCTTAATAGTTGAATCATCTGGAAAGTACAAGATCGGGACAGCTTGAATAAGCATAATCTAAGTAGATTAAAATTTGTAATAGGTTAGCTTTTTCAAAATTTAACAGATAAAAATTAATGCAACTCAATACTAATATATTCTATATTTTCATCATAAACATATTGTCCAATTATAAGTACAATGAAGTTGCTCTCGAATTCTTCAATTAATGTTTCAGAAGATTCAGTAAAGCCTTTATAAATAATTTCTCTAAAAGCGGCCTCAGTAGCTTTTATTCAATACAAGACACTTCCAGATACAAATTTCTTATTTCCTGTAATGGTCTTAACAAAGCAAAATAACACAAATAAGGATGACATGATAATAACAAGCTAGTGAATATAAAGGATAATGATAAAGTTGAATTTAATAGCAATTAAGATAAGTAATTTGAGATATTGTTGTTATTTATTTTATTATTATGATTTTTTTGGTTCAAAATTTTACACTCTCTATCTGCTAATAAACATATTTATATTTGTCAAGTATATACAAATTCAAAGCAATTTAATTATTTATTATAACTAGAATTTGATCTATTGTATTCAAGGGGAACAATGGAAAACGTAGCAAACACATTAATTTTATTAAAGTTATGCGATCGAATGCAAACAATTTCAATCAGATTTATATTTAAAAGCAAAGTAGAAATTTATGCCAATTGTAAACTAACATTGTAATTAGATAATCAACATCAATTTATTATTCACATAGTTTACACATCAGTAGTGGTTACAATATATTTTTTTTAAAAAATGAAAATTCTACATACTCAAGGTTAAGCACTGAATAATAAATATTTATATTGAAATATATCTTAGCAAATAATTTCTGTAAATTTGATTTATTTATAAAACAAAACATTTTTAATAAATTTGTAAATTTAATATTAATTTATAATGGTTTAATTAAATTTTTATTAAACTTACTATTATTTAATT